TTCTTAAATTCATCAATCAATCCTTTTATTTATGTGATAGGCCTGCATTTAAAATGAATATTTACCACAAATTAAAGGTATCTTATATTATTAGATATATTATTATAAAACATGCTTTAGTTAAGGAGTTATTAATACTTTAAGTGCAAAATGATGATATAAAACCTTAATAAAAATGCACTTTTAAGTACTAATCAAGTTTCATGTTTTTTTTTTTATAAGTTTAACCAAATCTCATGTCTAAGGTCGTAGGTTTAATGGGTTAACATAGACTTACTCGAGTTTCTTTTTTGTTGCTTTGTTTTTAGATTAGATTTTTTTTAAAAAAATTACCATTTAACATTGAGTTGTCTAAAATTTAAGCTTTCTTGTTTTATTCAATTTATTTTCTATGGGGTTATCCTGATCTCATGATTAAGTTACATATTTGACATGCTAATTCGGTGGACTTGAGTTGTTTTTTTATCCTTTATTTATTTATTTATTTCAATTTTATCTTTCAACAATTGATTTGTTGGCAATTGATCTTCTAGTTTTTTTCATGTGTGCATATAGAGATTTTGAGGCATCGAGAAAATGTTTTGTCACTCAATTAATTCTTAATTATGCAAAAAAAAATTAATTTAATTGATTTAAAATAATTTATGCATCAGGAACTGAATTTAAAGTTTAAAAAAATATTCAACCATGTTTTTTTTTTTTTGCAACGTCATGAACTGAATTGCATAGTCAAGAGAGAAGTTCATGCCCCTTTGATCCCTCAACTTTCTTTTAATTTAATCCATTTGCATTGCATTTATGTGAAATTTGACTCTATAATTTGTTTGGTTACCTTGGTACGGGGATCTTGCAATATTGAGATAAATTCTAAGTGCTTGGTTGGTGCTCTATTTTGCAAATTAAATAAAAACAATCAGCTAAAAAATAATAATTATATGTTAAGGAGCCAAAATTGAAAATAAGACAAGCATAGATACTAAGATAAACAGGTAGGGAAACACAAGTGCTTGATGGTGGGTGACGTCCACAGTATTCAAGTTGCGCATGAGAAGTCTCTTGGTGGCCAAACTAAAGCTTTTGTAGTGGTGTTGGAAGCTACAGTCTTCCAAGTGGTGCGCCGCATGTCGGTGGAAGTGCAATAGTTGGACTTTAATGAGCTTTTTCTTCTTCTCTCTCATCTTTTAGGATTCGTGTTGGCCTAACAAAATTGTCATGCTATTTTTTTT